TTATTGGGAGATTGTAGCTAATATTAATTTTACAGGAGTTCTCCAACTTCGTAGTTCATTTTAAGAAAGTTTGAAATATGCAGCTTGAAATGAGGACACGGGTAAACTCACTTAAACTTACTCATATTCGTTTGCTAGGAAAGATAAACGAAGTACATTAATGTGTTTTTAGGGCTATTTTATACTCAAACTAATTTTTGTTTTTCCAATCTGCTACAAGTTCAAACTATCATCAATTTAATATTCATAAAAAATCTCTTGCTCAGAGCTTTCGCCTTCATTTTGCTTGTTTGTTTGATTAATTAATGTTTCGTAAACGACACATGAAGAAAAATAGTAGAGAAGAAATTAGAACTTTATTGTTTTTATGCTTTATAAATTTAGCATCATCAGGTGGATTCATATGGATTCATAAATGTCTAAATCATTTTCTTTATTCCGCAAGTGCAACTAAAGGGATTATGCAATTTTTTTAATCTGTTTTCTATCTTAATTCATCCTTAGAAATGTGAATTTCTGTCTAAAATAGAATCGAAAATCTAAAATTGTATGAGATTTGATGATGAATTTTAAGCTTTGATTCATCCAAGACAAGAAATACATCTACAAAATATCATTGCTTCATGTCACTTCATCCCGAAAATATGATATCCTTTCACAAATGAACCTGTCGGGTTAAAATGTAAAATTAGTGCTGGGTGCTTAAAGTTTCAGGTTCAGAGGCTGAGTAATGACCAACAAGTTTGTATTTACTGTTTGAAAATGCGAGCATGCGGGATATAATCATTCACTTTTGCGTTGTTAATCCACATACATAAAAATTGATGACTTGCAAAATATAAGCAGTATGAGTGCATTAAAAACAAATGAATGTGTACAGTTTCAAGTTTTCAAGGAATTGTGTTAATTACTTGCATAATGCTTGGGTGCAAAGGAATTGTATTAACGGCGATTTCTATTTTCAATTATCTTTTATATGTAATATGCTCGTTTCTCCTTCCTTCACAATGATCAGTTCTTTTTTAAGTAAACTAGCCTTTTTTTCCTCAAAGAATCTCTTAATTAATTGTTTTCACTTAATTCAGAATATGAAGTTAAGCTTCTTTTTAATTCTTTTTGAAAATACTGACAAAAGATGTATGTCTTTCTTCAAATCTAAGAATTGCTAACTGGGCAAACGATTTTCAAATGCGTGTTGACGAAAAAAAATCCTAAATCAGTAAGCGAATTTCGAATGATGTAATTTTTCCTGAATAATGGTTGTTTTTTAATATCAAAACACTTAAATTATGAATGGAACACTCTTAAACAATCTTCAGAGAAAAACTGTCAATTTCAAAATCTTCGAATCATTCTTTACTAGTGTTCGCATTGCAAGTTCTTAAGTGAATTTGATGCTATAGACTGTCACTTTGCTGTGGTTTGAATCTCATAATTTCCTTGCTGTTTTCAGCTAGAGCAAAGGTCTCTGTTCCTAACCCACGATGCTGACTTATTCTGTGCGCTCATAAATCTTGTCATATTGATTGTATTATACAACGATATATTCAGGTTGCTCCCATTTTGTATTATGTATGCAATCCTGACACAGATGCAACCAATTTCTATGAAGAAAATATTGCTTCAAGATTGGCTTCTTAACCAATTAGTTCACTGAACTATATTCTATTTTATAACATAAATTTTAACACTTTACTGTTAGAATAGAAAATTAAAGGTTAAGGAATATTGCTTCAAGATTAAAAGAATATTTCTTTTAATCTTGAAGCAATATTCTTTTAATTTTAATCTTGCTATATTCTGTAATCTTGAAGCATTTGAAAGTATATAATGATAATTTTCAAAGTTTCATGAATTCAGAACTCTGTATTCGTTTGAAGGTTTCATCTGTGTTTATGTGAAAATGAAAAATTCAATGTATTCAATGAGCATACCTGAAAATCGCAAATACCATCGCAAATATCAATTATCCCTTTTTAGAAAAATATTTAAAGAATTCGTTCTGCTAGTTCAGATGTTCAGAATCTTCAAATAATTTCTGGATGATATTAAATTACTAAATGTAAATTATCATTGCGGAATAAGGTATAATATATTAAGGTTTCTCAAACCCTAGTCAAATCGTCGATTTTTATAGGATCATCTAAAATGATCGGTGGCTGTTAAAACAAACAAATGTTATGTTTATGCTCCTTCAAACGGCCGTTTTCTGGTTTTCATATTACGACCCTCCATTGTCCACAGCAAACAAATACATGTGAATCTTAAGCACTTCAACCTTCAGTGCAGCTGCTTGTGAGATGGAAGTTTACGTGAAAGAGTTGAACTCGTGTGGAATCCCATAACCAGTTCGCAATCACTACAACTACATTTGTATTTTCCAGTTCTGTTATTCCTGTTTTTTTGAATTGTATTTTTGTGAAAATTTCTATTAAGCAGTTCTTCGGTTGGTCTGCAAAAAACCTCGGATTTTATTTTAAGAAATTTACTTTTATACGTTATGTGAATTATTTGCTTAAACAGGATCAGAACAGTCTAGGTTTCCTTCCAAAGGATGCATGTTTGCAAGTAGTCTGTCTATATTTCGTAAGCAATTTTTATCATTCTTTATAATAGGAAAATTTGCAAACCTCAATGATATTACTGCCTGCATAAAGATGGAGACGAGGTTAGACGACGACATAGTTATTTCATCTTATTTATTTTGAGTCATTTCTGCAAAAATATTGGAATTAAGCACGAACCAGACTGACAAATCAGTTTTCAAATCAATTTTTTTTCATTTTTTCAGTTTTTCCAATTTTTTTTAAAAATCAAATCAATTTTTTCAGCAAAAATCAGTTTTTCAATAAAAATCAATCAATAATTAGTTTTCTTTTTCAAATCAAATCAGTTTTTTATCTAATAGGCCATTGATCATCCTAAGCGAAATTTCAAATTATTATCACAAACTAACAAAATTCGGTGATGTTGCTCCAAAATAAATTTGGAAGGTTTTGAATTTTGAGTGTTTAATTCTGGTTTTGGTTTAATGTATAACTCAGAAATGTAAAACCATTTTGAACAGTTTAAGCAGTAAACGTTTAAACATTAGAACTGAGTTGCGCTAGAACAAGATGTATTTCTTTTTTGAGAGTTTGTTTTCATTCCCCTCCCCCCTTCCTACCCTCCCCAGTTGAATTATGCTGTTTATCAATGAGGAGAGAATCTGAGATATAGTTGGAGGAAAATTGTTGTAATAGACGTTATGTTCGTAGCTCGATAGTTGATTACGTCCTTCAACGTAGTCGTCCCAGCCATCTCAGTGTTTGTTTTCCCCGCCTTTCTTCTCTGTCCCAAATAAATGTTCTGATACTATGTCCTTTAAAATCAGTCCTTGAACTCAGGCAGAAAGGTTTGACACTTGACCTCTGCACCTGTCGCATCTATCGTACTCCTTATTCACTTTATTGGCCTCCCCTTATCTTCATATTTCAGCCTTTAATATCTTATTTTTTCGATAATCTTTCATCGTTAAGTGCTTTTTTGGATTTTTTAAATTGAAATTTGAGCATTTTTAAACAGAGGATCTTCGAAAAAGCTTGAGAAAACAAGATATGGTCTGGGCTATAAAGTAAGGTGACAATGCTTCAGTGACCATTTAATAAATGTGTCCATCAGATCTTTTCCACACAAAAATTGAGTGAAATTTTAGGATATTCGTATTTTAAGTTGCTTTGTAGCACTTAATCTGGACGCATTTCCTTCAGTATTAACATTCTTTATAAGGGAATGAAGAACGGTTACTTACATATGAGTCATCAATTTGATGAAAGTGAATTGCATGATCATATTGTGACCACTTTTCTCTTAAATGTTTAAGCAGAATGATGATTAGTATTATGAGTAATAAGCAGCTGGTTGCTTTTAAAAGGAAAGTTTTATTGGGTCTGAATTAAATTTTATCGCGGCTTATCAAGTGATGTGTATATCTGTTTGTCTGCCACGTAATCTGTTTACCTTGTGAAGCAGGGAGAAATGCTTAATAGCTATGTGTCCCTTCTGTGGAGGTGGTTCGAACAATATTGTGGACATTGTAGTGTTATACTTTTGTCCCTTAAATTTTTCTTATTTTTTTTCGTTTATTTCTTAAAAACAAATCACTCAGTCATTGACATATTTCTTTTCATCAGTCGTTACCTACAAGTCCTAGTGGTAGCTTATCTACTTGAACCATCCATCCATCGAGCGGCGGGTTATCTTATGCGAACTACTCATATCACTCATTTCTCCTTCGACAAATATTTTTCCCCTCTTTTATTTGCCCGTTTATTTTTAGCCTATTATCGAATGTTTGTGAGTTCTTTGGATCTTTCCTATTAAGCTTGCAAAAAGATTTATAAGAATTACAAAGGTTAAAAAATTTCTTTGGCTGCACATAACAGTCATAACAGTGTCTCCGAAAATTCTCCGGTCCCTTCTCTTCCCTCTTCAGGTAAAAGTGAACAGAATTTTTGAAGAGCGAAAGAAAGGGTTGAAACGAGTGGAGATATGGATGTGTATAAATCTTCATTTTTATGGATCAAAATCTTAAAAAAGAGAACTGTTTTGTAACACCAAGTTACCTGGCTTTTTTCACACACTTCTAACGATGACATCTATTAAAAACAGCGTAGGTGTTGTTTCTTAGCAACATCATTTGTTGCTAATCAACGAGAGAAAGCATTACGTTCTACTTAGTCTTTTTTTCGAGTACTTTTCATTCGTTTGCAGTTCAAACTTGCACACGAAGCGTTCGCTGAAACCACTCTTATCAAGTTGCTTCCTTCGGTTGCCTCTGCGCCGCTTTAATGATCATTCCGTTGTCGCCCCAAAGATCCCAGCAACACTTTCTAGTTACTCTGCTTTCTGCAAGCCGAATATTATTGCATGTCAGATGACCTTTTAAAAGTCGTGGCTAACAATTTCAGACTTATTTTCAAGCTCTATCTCAACTTCTATTTTAGATTCGCTTTTGCTCCATGCTATCTTTTACATTTCGCTTTTCTTTGGCGCTTTTGTTCTTTTGCTTCGCCGATGGTCAGCATCAAGAATCTCAGGAGGCTGAGACCCGGAAGACCATATTGTTTTGCTCACTTTTTGCAAACAAATTTTCTGTTTTAGACACAGATTGGATGATCGTACTGCTCGCAGCATTGAGAACGGTGCAGGGTGAATTTATTATTGAAATGATAGCAAAATGGCTAAAACTATGTTATCATGCGCCCATGTTTGAAAATAATGTTTACCGTGTGATTGAGGGATTTTACTTTCTGCATGACTTATATCATAATTTCACTAAAAACAGAAACATATCCAATGACTCAAACAAACTCATAATTTCATTTATAGCTTTTGCAGAAATCGTTTTAGCATTAACATGATTTTCCTTAGAATTTTATTCTTAGTACCTATCTTTAGAATTTTATACCTATCCTTAGAATTTTATTTTAAAATTTGTTTTGGCTTTTAGAGTTTATTAAATAAAATAAAAAACCAAAAGCTGCGGGTAATTATTTAAGGATTATAAGGATGAGAGTTGTTGCTCCTGCCACAAAGTGAAAATAAAACTGAGGACAGAGGTTGAACAATGATGGGTCACTGGATTAAGGAAGTTTTCCCCTTGTCTTCAACCTGTTCCTGTATTCTTTTTAATTAATATACAATCTTCCTATTTTCATTCCAAGACGTTTTAGGACAGCATTTATAGAGGAATAGGACTGCATCGCAATGCGAAATAAATGAGCTCAAGCGAGTACACTTTGTTTACTGATGTTGGTCAAACGATATTTGAGGTAAAAAGCAGACAAAACACACTATCAGTCGACGTTTGGCTTTCTTCTTTATTCTTCATGTTAATTTCTACCACATTTGACCAGAAATTGTTTCATGACTCTTGCTAAATATCGCAGTATGTGCCTCATGAACTCATTTATTTCATGTCTTACTTCGTTCCACGAATCCTTTAACTAATAATGACAATTGTCGAAATGGGATAAACAAGATGAAAAACAGTGACATAATCATTATGTGTAGAAATGTAGTGTGATGTGTAGCAATTGTCCCCTTTCCCCTTCAACATATCCTTCTCATGTTAGCGCGCAATTAACAAACGCAGCTCCTCAGTGCACCAAGTATTGCTGTGTCCAAGCAGCAGCAACGTATTAAAACTAACGAGGTCAGACGATTATGGTACAGTGCACCCGATCTATGACCTCTGAGTTCACGACCTCCGTTATCCATCCTCATCACTCATGACAGCAAGGTTATTGGGCGGATCTGACCTTTCTAGTAACAGATCATATCAGCACACACTTCTATTTGATTATCATTCTTATTAGGTGTTTCCTACTCACGGTCTTACACTGTTTGCCTATAATCAACTTACAGATAGGCAATATCTGGGAAAAGGTGAGCTACATATAAGAATTTTATATTCTACGCTCCTTTCTGCTGTACATTATATTCTCCTATGAGTTTTGATTCAGGGTTATTTCTGCAAATCTCATTTATACTTGTTATTAGTGTCATCTTTGCAAATGATTTCTTCTATTCAACCTTATAAAAGTTCGGTGATATATATATATATATATATATATATATATATATATATATATATATATATATATATATATATATATATATATATATATATATAT